TCAACCCCTTCGCGGATTGTGAAGAGTTCTGAAGCCCCCGAAGCAACTGCCGTGCCGAGGGAGTGACTTAAAAGTACGATTCGGGAGGGGGGGATGCCGGCTGTTTTGAGAGCAAAAGTTATGGCTGTTGCTGCGTCGAGGATTAAACCGTTTTCTGTGGGGGAGCCGGTGCTGTGCCCGAAGCCGCGGTAGGATAGGGCTAGGACGTGGTAGTTGGAGCTGGAGAGGGTGTGGTAGAGACGGGGACGGAAGGTTTGGAGGAGATGGCCTGCGTTTCCGTGGACTATAACAGTGATAAGTGAGATGGGGTTAATGGAAGGAAGGAAGGAAAAGACAAACAGCTGATGATTAGTTTTGCCGAGGGGTCATCACGGAGGAGTTTGAAGTTTTCGGTGGTGGTAATGTCTTGAGATAGTCCGGTTGGTTGGGCGGTTAGGGTGGCTTCGTGTTCATGGTAAACGGAAAGGGGGAGGATGTGCCATGCGTAGAGGGTTTGGTTGTCTGGTGTTGTTAGGGTGAAGGGGGTTGCTTGGTTTTCTTTCCGTCAGGCAGCACGCATTAGAACTTGGACAAGAGCTTTTGAAGTTATAGATTATGGGTATAGTAATTAAACTGACTGGCGAATCCCCATTTTTCAGGTTTATTGAGATTGGTTCCTGGAAGCCAAATGGTGGAAAATTTATGGGCATACAGGAAGCTGGCAAATTGAAATCGTCAGCCATGTTTACAACAAACCTCCCTTCTGAGAAGAGCCTTACTGGCGTTGGAAAAAAGGAATTGCGGCGAGACCAAGAAATAAACTGTAAATCGCCAATGGTACAGCAGCAGTAATACCAACCGCGAGATAAGGCGCTTTATTTGTCATTTTGCTGGACACGGGCTTCGGAATTTTCTTGTTTGCCATTGTTTTATTTCACATAAGAGGAGGTGCTATTATTCATTTTCTGACATGTGAGAAGTCCTTCCACCTTTAAAGGATGTCCAGTGATCGGCTTGGGGGAGGAAAGGACAAGGTGCCGTGCCACACAAAACATGAACTGACGTTGCAAGTTGGATGTCAGTGGGCCAACGAATACAGTGCGTAAGCCGTCAATTTGCGTCAGTCCCGGGCTGATTGGAAAAGAGATGGACACTGTATTTTAGGGAAAAGCATGGGACTGTCGCGTCCAATTATAGACCCTAATATCTTGATGTGTATTCAACAGGCGAAACTGATAGCTTGTCTAACATGCATAATGCCGCCAAGACCAAGACCCACGAGGCATCAGTCAGCCGCAAGACCCATCTCAGCACTGTTGCTATCAAAGGTTATTTTCAAAGAATTTCAGGTCGAGAAAAGAAGATATGGAAATCCATCGAATTCAAAACCTACTCCTGACCAACTAAATCCAACCGTCCCATCTCTTTTTTCCACTCGGGGACTTTTTTCAGAACGTGTACATATGCAAGGAGATTATTGGAGCATTTCTTTTTTCACTCGTGGTTGCACCGGTCGCACCGGCAATTGATTGCGCCAAAGAAAAGGCTGTCAAGGATTCGCAGTGGTTTTCTCTTCAACCAATCACGAACCTTGCCGAGCTGCACTTTGACAAGGTTTACATTACTAGCGCTCCGGACCTCTCTCTTCAGAGCAATTCCTGGTCCCAAAGATCCAAGTCCATTCATTCATTTTCATTTTTCTTGGGGTCCGTTCCTCTCTACCCAGCTGCACCTCGCAGTTGGTATCTCACCCACACTCAAAGTAAGGCAGCACATCATGACAGTACTTTTTGCGACGGCAACCTTCTCAGCTTGTCCATCGTGTCTTCGTTAAGCATCATAATCGATCTCACTTTCTATTCTTATCCAATATCGCAATTTGCGACCCTCTTCAATATCGATACGCAGCCGAACCCCCAAATTTTGTCGCAACGCTGATGTTTTCATGACAATCTCACCCACATTTTTGCACTGCCTGTTCGGACAGCCGACACGATGGAAAAGAATTTAAAGAGGAAGCTTCCGGCGCGCGCTGCTGCTAGGAGTGAGCAGGCTGCGAAAAGACGAAATATTACACCTACTCCTGTGCAAAAATCCAAATCGTCAACTCCAACACCTGCGCCAGAGCCCGAGCAAGCTCCTGCAGAAGATGCCCCTCCACCACTTCCCAAAGCTGTCGTCGCGGGCAAGCCTCTGCCGGCGGTCGACTCGCCTCAGCCTGACGATCTTCCAACTAAAGATTACCAGACAGTCACTGAGAGGTAAGCTTGGTTGTTGGCGCGTGTTATCTGGGCTCAATCTCGTATGTAACTGACAATCATGCCTTTCATTATAGTGGAGTTCTTTCCGAGTCTCTTACGCGATCGCGACAGACGTGGATTACAGACGGTATTTTCGAAAAATACTGGTCGAAACCTATCAAGAAAAAGGGAGTTGTTATTGAGGAACCAAACAATCCGCCAAAAGAAAGCATGACCAAGCTCGGTCAGGTCACCATAACGATCGAACCACACGTTTTCGAGGCCACTATGTTCGCTGTGAAAGATCCAAAACCTCCAGCACCTCCGACGCCTGCGACTCCAAGGCCGATTCTTCAATACGGTCCTCCGAACGGAGTAATGCCTCCTCCGCCAACTCCAAAACCCGTACAATCCGTACAATCCGCGCAGCCCGTGCAGTCCGCGCAGCTCGCACAAGCTGTGACTGCGCCGCCGGCTTCTACAGACGCAACAAAATCTCAGGCAAAAGATGGTGCAAAAGCTCAGGCGAACCAACCAGCCCAACCGCCGACGCAATCTCAAGCCCCGCCCCCGGTCGTTTCTAGTACTCCGGCTCTTACGGTAGCAGCAGCAGCAGCGCAGATGCCAATCTCGCAAACGCCAGCAAAGTCTAATCATATTACCCCACCAATTCCCGCCGTAATGCCCAGGCCGGTTGCATCTCCTAGAGGGATGGAGGCTGTCCTTTCCCCAAACACAGTAACACCCCAACCACCAAGACCTCCGGTGACAGTGACCCCCGCCGTAACACATCAGCCGCCACATCCGCCTACCGTAGTTATTCCAGCAACTTCGACATCAGCGAACCCGACTCCAGCAATCCCGAAGCCACCTATCACCGGTGCACCAGCTGCTGTAATGGGCGCACCAACTGCTATCATGGGTGCACCAGCAGCTGTCACTGGTGCACAAGCAACTATCAATGGTGCACCAACAACTGTCAATAGTGCATCAGCAGCCACGGCCGCTGGTGCATCCGGAAAAGCTCCTCCTCCTCCAGGGACCGATCCCATCATCATGCTGCTGGCAGAAAGGGCGGGCACCAATTCTCCGCTTAGAGATCTTATGAAGAAAGTTGCCCAAGGAGACGCCAGCAAGGTCGAACTGGAGCGGTTTCAGTTAATAATCGATGCTCTAGCTATCGAAGTCAAGCTCAGAGATGCAACTGGTCCAGTGGCAGAACTCGCAGACAAGTTGTTTGTGGATGGTCGCTCAATGAGGTACTTTGCCGACGAGGTTCGCAGCATCCTGAACATTGTTCTAAGTTCCAACCCAAAACAGACGTCAGCAGACTTGAAGCCACCTGTTGACAGTGATCCGCTGGTTGTGGGGCTGGTCAAAGAGGCACTCGACGACATGTTGCTCCGAGGTATGGCGCAGCGAGTAGGTATGGGCACGTTTGAACTTCACGATTTGGCCACTCTCAAAGCAACTCTGGATCGTGTGTATGCAAGGCTTCGGGAAAAGCAACTTCAGCAGCAAGCCGCATCCCAGATATCAAACACAGGTACGGCGAATCAAAAGCCCAATGGTGCTCCCAACGGCGCCGCTTCATCACCGTCAACTCCTGCACCCCAAGCGCAGCAGGCATTACGATCCAAGGGGCCCCCCCCTCCTCCCAAGCCTGATATATCAGCCATCGTTTTTGAGTTCACAGGAGGAACAGGAGATCGATACTTGTTTCCCAAATATAGCATTCTGGAGCAAGTTCCCATGCCACAAGGCTCCGGGCAGCAGGTCCTTTGCTCCTTTTTGCTTGTACGGAGAGGCAGCAAGTCTGAGTATCCCCAAGCCGATCCCGAGTTGGACTATTATCAGCCCATAACAATCCGGTTGTTTACCCCAACAGGACGACATTTGGATCATTTGTCCCGAGTCGTGGCACCGCAGGAAGAGGTGGTGCGCTACATGGATGGGGTGATGGATAAAATGACGAGGGCCGAGTATATCTTGCTTGCAATGAGGTTACCTCGCAAGGATGGAACTGAAACTGAAGACACGGATATGGGAGGGACCACTAACAGAGCGCCGCCTGTTAAAGAGAAGGAGAGTGAAGCGACTGATAAGGGCCGAAAGGGGGCGCAGAACCCAATGGCAGGAGTATTGTGGGCTACTAAACCACCTCGTGTCGAAATGAGGGAGCTGTCGTCCAGATCAAGAGTTTACGCTGGGGATGCAGAGTTGGATGGCGGGGATGAGCAGTATCAAAGGTTTATCTCGACTGTTGCTGGGAAGGGAGTGCAGGATTAAAAATATGTTTAAACTGGATACCATCGTTATTATTGTATATCTTTTCTTTTTATTATTTCCCCTGTCGGTTCAATTTTTCTGGCTGCTGGGAGGATACTGGGCATGGACAATAACTCACGGGTTTTATTTTCTCTTTAGCTGTGACATTATTATTTACTTTTTTTTAGGGCGGTTCAAGGTTAAAATTGAGTCAGAGACCCTTTTTCCTTTTATTTACGCTTATCAAGTTATTCTTATTCAAGCCTTGCCCAGGATGTGCGTCTATGTATTGCATGGCAATTTGTCGGCAGGTTTGAGTAACCACTCACTTATTCAGTCCCAAGCAATGCCCAATCATCATGTATCCATTAAACCATCAACATCGATCGCCTTGCTTGATATTGGCTCGTATACCCACGAACGAGCAATCAATTGCATATTAAGTGTATATAGAAAACACAATATTCTGGAAACCAAAAAAAAAATTCTAACAAAGAAATCCGTATATTTGAACGTCACCTGCAGGATTCGAACCTGCGCCTCCGAAGAGACGAGCTGAACCACTACTTTCACATGTTCTTGAACTCGTGAAACTAGCAGGCCCGCGCCTTAACCACTCGGCCAAAGTGACTTGACTGAGGACTATTTTTGGTCTGATGATTGATTTGTTCATTAAAGGAATATAAGAGGGGTACGTACTCCATATGTATGTATGTATGTATCATACGGCAAATCCGACCAATGATCCAAGACACCCACACCACACCACCTCCCGCTTCCAACTCACCATCCCCGCATTTGCTTGGGCCGCGGCCACCCCTCCCTCTCTGTCTTCCCGTTCGGTCCCCTCCCCTCTTCTTCATCTCTTTTTTTAACGAATATTTTCTTTGTGCAACATTGATCTCAGGCTCCATTGCGTTTGCCGCGGTGCCGCGTTTTTATTTATCTATTGGACCAATTACATTGTTTTTCATGCAGCCGCTCGGAATAGGGAGAGGGAGAGAAAGATAAGGGTATGCACGCCGAGCTGCTGAAAAGGTCTTTGGGTCGGGTCCCAGCGCGTGTGGCTGGCTCCATTTTTCTTCCCTTATCTTTTGAAATGGCGGTTTTCGGTAAAGCAGTGAGAGGGAGAGAGGTGGTGCAGACTGCAGTTGATCAGTTGCAGGCATGGGGGCTGGAAGCCTTTCCCTCTTTCCACCTTTTCTTTTTTTGTTTGTCCCTTTTTTTTACGTAAAAATAAATAAATACAATACAATCTACGACAGAATAGACAACCTACTATGGACTCCACGGAGATTGAACAACAATTCGAAAGGGTAGAAGTCCTCGTCGACAGCCTCGCTTGCGCCTGTGAGGCGGCCTTGAATCTCTACGCCGAATGGGCGGCAAAACAGGCTGCTGAGAACCGGTATCATGGCAGACCGACGAGAACTAGACCAAACAGCACCAGCACCAGCATTAGTAGCGTTCGGATTTCAAAGTTTGGCAATGCGGCGACGCCCATGACTAAGTGCGCTGCGATTACGAGTCTCGAGATGTCGAGTTACAGGATTAGGTCGACTTACCAGATTGGGTTGACTCTTATCGGACCTGATTTTGCCGATGGTGATGGTATATATATCTCCCCTCCCCATGATAAGGGTTTGTGGGTGTGGTTTTGACTTGATTTTATAACAGTTGAATGCCGCGAATCACTTTCATATAATTTATCTCAGATGATGGATCGTCTTTATCATCTTAATGAGGCAGTCACAGTTACTACTACTCCTTCTGGTCGGCGACAACAATTGCAACAACGGCAACAACTTATTCCTCTCCCGCTAAACGACCTTTATCTTTGTTCAGAGTATATTCGTTTACAATCTGTTTCATCATTAGCTTTGCAGTATCGGCGGTTCGCGGCTGGTCGATCTATCCCGCAAGAAATTCCGATTCCAAGGGCGATGCCGAAAAGGTTTTACTGGGAGGAGGATGAGGATTATGATGATTATGGGTTTCCGAGACTTCAACCGACTGCAGAAGAGGAGGAGGATGAGGAGGGATCTGACAATAGTGATAATGATGATGGAGTCTCGACGCCTCGACTTGAACAAAAAGAGGTCGTTGAATTCGACGCTCAGAATTCTCCGGAACTTACCTTTCAAGGTCTTCAGTCTCAACCGCCTTCCCCGCCTTTGACGCCCAAGGCTTCTCGTTCGATACCGGTTATTAATATTACACCTCCGCCATTACCTTTATCTGAGAGAGAGTTCTTTAGACGTAGCAGTGTTGGTAGTAGTAGTGGGTTTGAAAGTAGGGATGATATTTTTTGCCAGGTGGCGATGGAGATGCAGGCTGATCCCACGAAATCAATACCGTTTACTGAGGATGGAAAGTGTGAAGCTTGTGGATATGAATTGAGGGTTCATGGAGCATCAGGGAATGGAGACGGTAAATTAGTGGAAGCAGGGAGGAGGGGGAGTATATATGTCCTTCCGCTCAAGGATGGATTTGGAATGACGGAGAGGTTCTTGGCGAAATCGCATTGTGGTTTTGATGCAGAAGAAGGAGGAGGAGGAGGAAGGTATGGATGTGTGCTTTGTGCGGGTGTGGGAGGGAGTGATGGAACAATGTTTGATGGGGTTGAAGGGTTGAGAAGCCATTTGGTTGGGTGTCATGATAAATGGCAGTTGCTGCATGAGAGAGATTTTATTTGACGGTTTTGGAAGGAATCTAATTTGGCCTTTCTTAACGGCGTTTTTTGGAAGTTGGGTTTGGTATTGCATTGTTTTGGAGGGATACCCATTTTTTCCTTTGGAAGTGTTGCTTTATTTACTTGAGCACAACTTTTAATTCTTATATTATTTCAAATTGTTCCTATGTAAATTGTCCCTATAACCCGAGGTGAAGCTCCCTGAGACATAAAAAGTTGCCGAAGGGGGCCATTCAGGCCAGTGGTGCTTGCTGTGTAGTTCTTGCAATGCATCTTACCATGGAGGGAAACAACACTGAAGAAAAGTCTTGTGTAAGTCTGTTAAGCCACTGGCAATATATTGCCATGACCAACAGTCTTTTCGGTCCAACATTCCAATAGGCTTTTCAAATCAACAGTATATTCGTACCCGTACAGGCTGTTCATTGCCATGTTGAATTGCCCAGACCATATTGAATGTCTGTTGATCCTAATGGTCAATTGCCAGGCCTTGTTGTATACCATGTTGAATCGACTAAGTACTATTGAAGCCAATGTTTAATTGCCAGGCTATGTTGCGTGGGACTTGGAGCATTCAACCAAGGTCCTCCCATCCGTGCCTTTTACTTCCTCACAACCAATCCTTATAAGCTTCAAAATTCCTACCCTTTTCATCAATCCGTAGATAGTCTAGTGGTATACAGTAATTGGAACGAAGCTCCAATATGACGTGATTTGAATTTTTCTTTCTCTGTTTTTGAGAATGGAGAATTTGCTAGGAGTTCCTCTCTCTTTATACTGAAGTCTGGCAGAGTTCTTAGAGCGTCTATTGGCTGAGAGCATTAATGGGAATATGGGGATTCAAATAAGCGTTATAATATAGAACAACTGTCTTGGAACGCTATTAACTGTCCTACAACGGCATATATTGTTATATAATATAACCGTTGCGAATGAGATAACCGTTATATATTTCTGTAAGGAGTATCCCTGCAGTATATCCTGCACCACAGGGTTATTCACGTGGTGTGCCGTGTGCAAGTGGATGAGGGCATTCCCAGATGGAAGGAGCCCGGCCACGGCAACCACGGCCACACCTACACCCACACCTACGCAATGGCAATGGAATGCGTTGGATTTCTGGAATCTTCAAAGTATTGGCCGTCTTCCACTTTTTCACTTGTTCCAATTCAACCACTTCAACCACCACAACGGCCACTACGCACAGGCACAGGTATGGCAATGGCATTCGCACCCGCACCCACACTCACACCCACACAGGCCAAAGATTAACCACTTCTCCGATCCAGGGCATTCCAACGCATCGATCCACGGCCACACGCACGGCGAAAAGGCACACAATTGGCTGGCATTGCAATGGGTGGTTATACTGGGTGGTGATGGCTGTGGTGTTGAAGGCCGTGGCAGGGGTAATTGACAGGGGCATCGATGTAATCGCATGGGGTATTGACCAATCAGAACCACGGTCTACAGGGATCAGGCTCCTTATAACTGTCAAAATATATAACGGTTAATGTCACGGGAGGGGCAGGGTTCGTAGAACACTAACAGTTGTATTCAGCTATACTACAGTCTGGGCTCTATTCCATGAGGTGCGGGCAGGCTCTATTGACAAGACGTAGCTACAAACAGATCTCGTGGCAGCGAGATGCAAAATCTTTTGGTCGCATTGACGCGTGCTCCACACGCGTCGAGCTCCACTTAGTGGATATCCGCAGTCACGGCGCAACCGCCGTGACAGTTAACTCATTTCCAACGGTTAACTTTTGGGCAAACTTAACTGAGATATATAACGGTTATCTTTATATAACAGTTAAATGGAGCCCCATCTCCCATTAATGAGATTTAGCGTGCTATCTGGTATTGCTTATGGCATGGCTCGTAGAAATTGGCGTGATGGCATGGTTTTAGCTGCTAGAAAGGAGGTATAAGTGCCAGTGCCAGCCAGTACGCCGTTACTAGATTCAACCAAGGCCATATAGTATAAGAACCAATATTTCACACCCAGTAATTCACATAACCTATTAAAATCCAAGGTTAGGACCCCAGAGCCAGTATTGATCTTCGACGGCCACCTGTATTGAGTGGGAAGGAGTGGAAGCAGTGCAGGCTGTGGAGGCTGTGGAAGCAGTAAAAGTTATTGTATCAAGAAGATATAGATAATCGAGCGAAGCGAGGACTGGGGGTTTGGGGGTTTGCCCCTATAAGCCCAGTGTGGGACTGTGGGTGGTGGTGGTGGTGGGCTTCGCTCCATATTCCTTTCGAAGCATTGAGCAAAGGTAACGCTCTAATACATTTAATTGCCCACGCCAGGGTTCAAATCCTGACTGTGGTATTTTTGTTCTTCGTGATCTTTGCTGTGTGGTGTTGTGAAATGTGTATGGCTTCCATCTTGTGCATAACTTTGTGTGACTGTGGCTGAATGGTACGGTATCTGAAATACCAAAGATTACCTAGGAAAAATGGACCCAGGAGATTTCTTTTGATCATTATTTTCGAACAGTCTTTTGGAACCAATGTTGGGAGGTGGGGTTTCCCCTCCATGGTAAAAATAAACTCATGCTACTAGTAGTCTGCTCAACACCTCCATTGTGCCTTCCTTATTCAAAGATATGTCATTTCAGACTCAACAAACTGCCTCGCAGATTTTTCTCCATCCTCTGATCATCTCAACTTCTTAGATGCCCCGTAAATTCTCCACACCTTGCTTTTTGTGCGAGAACCTGGAACCAGCCGGTTTCTCCTCTCCATATTCTTTAACCACTTTCTTTTTCAACTAGTTTCATCTTGAGTCTCTTTCACCACTGACAGCACCCACCTCAAAACGGTTTGTTTCCAATACATGCTTTCATCTGATCAACCGAAATCATCCAACCTTAAATCGTCCACCTTCTATAAAGTGGTCAATTTACTTCCCTCCGCCCTATCTGCTCATGCAT